TCGGAATCGTCGATATCTTCGCCGAACACTTCTGGCAGAAGATTTGTCCGCAATTACGGCAGTGATGTTTGCGCTGAACCAACGAGAACTGAGTGCGGCATCGGTTACAGCACTCGCCGTCGGCCCAGTCGGGCGCCGAGTCGGCCGCGAACATGGCGTCCGACTCCTTCAGCACCGGGAACTTATAGCCCTCGATCTTCATCAGGTTCACGGTGTCGGCGACCGCGCGATGGGTCGGGTCGTTGCGGAAGGCGTGCGCCCACACCTGAATCAGTTTCAACACCTCGTCCCTCACCTTCGTGTCCGACGACATCTTCACGATATCCCTCAACTCTTCCATAAAGGCTTTGCTCGTCACCTCCACGTGGAAAGCGGTGCCGCAGTTCTTCACACACGACTCCAACACCTGTCCCGTCGAGTGGACGACACAATCAGTGAGTGACAGACACATCAGCCGGACATTGATCTCGCGGATCACTACAATCGATGGTACGGTACCTGAAGGGCGAGGAGCTCGACGTTGGGATTCGTTGCGTACAATTTCTTCTTAATGGCGTTCACGGCATACTTGGGTCTGAAATGAAACGAGACAATTGGTGGTGTCAGTGATGGTGAGACAATGAATGGCACGGGTAGTAGTGGTGGTGACACTCAACTGGACGTCATTCTGTCGGATGGTGTCGCAGATCTGGAGGATGGCGTTCCAGTCTGGCTCCAAATTGGTGAGACTCGTCGCCCTGTCTGTGGTCAACATCACAATCATTAGATCCCAATCAATACCACACCACTCAATGGATTACCCAATAATTTGTCGAAATTTGCGGATTTAAACATCGCTTTAGTGTTGACTTTCAGACAATGAATGCAAACAAACAAACAGTGAATACGACGACTGATTCAGTGCTCGTGTTGTTGACTGTGAACTGGTGTTTGACTTATCGTTGGATACCTTCAATGCAATCACTAAAGAGATTACAAATTAATGCCATTTATTAGCGTTCAATGAGTCACTCATTAAATGTCAATATGGGTGCGACTCGTAGGCACTGTTCGCGCTATTATGGGGTTCAGTTCGGATACTACGGCGTCCGCCGGCATAGGGTTTACATGCAATCGCACTCATAGCGATTCATAGGGGCCAATAAAAGCGCGATTAACTGTAACAGTATTTACTGATTGGCTAAAGTAGGTGTAAATACTTGCGTACTGCCCGTGAGTTACACCCGTGAGATGACAGCACGTGTCGCACACAATGACATGACTTAGCATTTGTTGTGTGTATTTCTCATTGCATTTAAATCGCAAACACTTTTTTGCCAATGATTTGAAAGTTTGAGTCAAACAAACAAACCATTTGTTCACCTCTTGGGACGACTGTCACCACATCCACCACATCCACGCCACTCATGAGTTGACACACAAACCACACGTGAATAAGAAGTTTTCGTTTTGTTTATAAGTTTTTTATTTTGGCCGTAAATCCAGTGCTTTTTATATAATTGTTGTGTAAATCACATAATAATCGTTGAGTTTGTGGTGCAGTTGAGTGATCGCGATGTCCGCCGACTTGGATCTAAACGTCACCTCATCTGAAGTATTCCTCTACATCTACGACATGTCCAAAGGGATGGCCAAAGCGTTTTCGCAGATGTTTTTAGGTATGAATACACCGCTCGCCCGAGTCATTGATGGCTAACTGATCCCCCGTTTCGCAGGTAAAGAGCTTCCGGGCATTTGGCACACGAGTGTCATCGCCTACGAGAGGGAGTACTTCTTCGGCTCGTGTGGTATTCAGAGCTGTAATGCGGTAAACAATTGACTCACTTCGTGACCAATTCATTGATAATATCGCTGACCAGTGCTATGTCTTAAGGGTGAGACCATTCTCGGCGAACCGGATCAGATGCTAAAGCTGGGCAAATGTCAGTTGCCTTACAGCCTATTCCTCGAGTACTTGTCCTCTTTGGGAGACTCGACCTTCGCGTAAGTGTTTGCCTATAAAAGCGCCGATTCATTGACTCATGAAAGTGCACCCATTTTGCAGACCCGGAACCTATAACTTAATGGAACACAACTGCAATAACTTTAGTAACGAATTGTCTCTATTCCTCACCGGAAGACCTGTCCCTCAAGAGATCCTTGACTTACCATCAGAAGTGCTCAATACGTGAGTTTAATTAAACTTATGCACAAAAAACTCATTAAATAGTTGTTGATAACTATTGACTCAAATCCAAGATTTTATTTAACATTTTCCTTATTTTTTGTTCAAAACGCTCGCATTTGGAGCATAAGTTGTGCACAAAAAAACTTTTTCCAAAAACTATTTATAGTTTTCCTTTAATTTAGTGTTTATTTCGTTTATATTTATTCCTCGCAATTGTTTTGATTATTATATTTTTTCCGTAAACGCCAAAAATTTAATGGCATTGAAATTAAATGCATTTTTTATGAGAGTTTAGAAATTGATTTTTTAACATTTTTACATCTGATAAGTGTTTATAAGAATAATCTCAATGTTTACTCGCTTTAAAATTTAAAGTTTAAATGCTAATATATACTGTATAGTTATTTTGTAAACTATTTGACATTTCATTTTTACAACATTTGCTTCACTCATAAGCTTTTGAATTTTTCGGTGAAAATAGTTTGAAACAACTATTTCTAACACATTGTAAGAATATAATGAATTATTTTGTGCGAACAATACATCACTTTTTAAGTAAACACCGGTGCCCTATGAAACATGAAAACTTAAATAACTTACGGTATTATAAAACTTATACAGTACCTTTACAGCGTACACTGTAATAAGTGTGCTTGCACTATATTTGCACTAAAATATGAATCCAATTTGTGCACTCATTGTACTGTATTCCTAGGATACAGAGATTGTGATCACTTAAAAAGAGTTACTAATTAATGATAAATGAGTTAATAAGAGACTAATCACTTACATATTAGATAAAACTATAGTGGTTAAATTTAACTCTACATATAATAGACAGTATAATAACTTACTGTATGGACTAAATAATAAGTAATCGTAAAAACTTTAATTTGATTAAAATTTATTCTTAAAAAATGTTTTCATTGAACCATATTATGTTTGCACAAGATTTCAGATTTTCAATTATAAACGATAAACATATTTAAGAGTCAAATTGCAATGCAAAGCCCTACCCCCTCACCCTCAGCCCTCCCGGCAACATATGCTGGCATTAAATAATGTAAATATTTGTGCTGTGATTCAATTTTAGAGCATTTGATGTAAAAATAGAAAACTTTGTTAAAAAAGCTATTTTTGTTGTCAAGTCATTCGTGTGATCCGATAAATACATTAAATATGATATAAAGTTATATATAATTTTTGATTTATTAATTCCTATTTTGTAGTTTTATAACTTTTATTGCTATTNAAGCTATTTTTGTTGTCAAGTCATTCGTGTGATCCGATAAATACATTAAATATGATATAAAGTTATATATAATTTTTGATTTATTAATTCCTATTTTGTAGTTTTATAACTTTTATTGCTATTAGCCTTTTACGGGATGTATTAAAGCTTGAAAATTAATATTAAATTTAATTGTATTCATCGAAACGATTTTAATAGAAATTTTTTGATAAAAATCAAATATTTATTTAGAAGTGCTTTACAATAATAGATATTTCATTGTAAAAATAACTACTGTATTGCTGTTATTTCAGTATAACTCTACTAAACAGTGAACTTCTTTATTTAAACCAAAACCTTTGAGACTTATTTACAATTTAGTAGTTGTTTTCAAAAACTTCAAAAACATCATTTTATAAACTGATCCGAATATTTAACAAGTATAAATTTAGACTTATTCTGTGGAATATGTACCCGGAATACTTATGAAGGTTGTGATTGGTGACATTTTGTTTAATAGTTTTGCGATTTTTAAAGAATACAACTTTACTATTGAATTGATTTGCGAAAAGAGTTTTTCAAAAGTTTCTCAATAATAACGAAGACTATGTAGTATTGAGTACAAGTAGTCCCCAAAATTGTTTTTCCCAACAAATCCCAGAATTTACGGTTTACTGCGAGAAGTTGTCTCTC